CCGCCCTCCCTAGAATGGTGCATAAGAAAAGGCCAAAGGGTCTGTTACTGGGTCATTGGGATCTTGGGATGGCAGTCTATCCCTGACCTTGTTCTGGTAGCCTCAGAAGTAGCACGTTGCTGTCAGGACCTTGAGCACGGCCGGAGGATGGTCTCACTTTAAACTCATAGTCTTGGCCCCAGAAGAGTCCCCCAAGCTCTGCATTCTGCCATCCAGCCAGCAGGACCTCTGCCCATGGAGCCGCCTGGCTTCCTGGGGCAGGCTGGGCCCTGAACAATGCTGTATAGGACTGAGCTGGGGCAGCAGGGCCACTCACCTGAGGAAGGATTCAAGAGTAAGGGCCAGGGGTCAGGAAGCTCATAACCAGAATCTTCTTGAGTTTTAGACTGACATACATTCTTGGGTGCCGGGCCTCACCTTCCAGCTGAGCCACACAGCAGGCCCAGGTTTGGGGTCCTTTGCAGGGTCAGGGTTCAGCAGAGTCACATTTTCCAGCTGAATGCGCACAGCCAGGAGCTCTAGGGGCTGTTTGTAGACCTGGGGCTCTGTGGAGACATAAGACTAGAACTGCAGCTTATGGACCAAAATGAAGGACTTGAGGAATGAGCCACTTCCCCAGCCACAGAGAAGCCACGATGTCTCAGTTTCCCAGGTCTAGAGGACTCCTTAGGAGCCGGTCATTAAGCGGTTGGCTGCTAACCAGAGGGTTGATGGTTCAAATGGACCAGCTGTTCTGCAGGAGGGAGAAGTTGTGGCAGTCTGCTTCCATCAAGATTTATAGCCGTAGTCCACATGGAAGTCCACATGGAAGAAGCACACCAGCTTGTACGATCCAAAGATGACAATCAAAAAATCCAAATATGATGAAGGGAAAAGTGTTAGAGCTTAAATTGTGAACACCAAATTTGTAGAAGGCCATGGAGGAACCCCAAACCCATCTGCAGAGTATCTATTCCAATTAATCCGCTGGCAGATCCCCTCTAGCCACAGACAAGGGAGTTGAGGAGCTTTACTATCAAACAAAGATTATGGTAAGCTTGATTATGCTGGATCAAACTTGATACTTGGTCAGTTGACCTCCCTCTTGACCCAACCTGAATTAGTTCTAGGCTTGAGTAGTTCTTGCTTTTTCCATGACAGAAATTTCTTCCCTGGCTGTTTAAATATTGATGGTGGTCTTTTCTTTCTTAGTCATTGTTTGTATTTTCATCTTTACATTATCATTATTTTAACCAGGGGTCCTCACACTTTTTAAACAGGAGGCCAATTCACTGTCCCTCAGACTTGTTGGGGGGCCGGACTATAGTTTAACAAAAAACTATGAACAAATTCCTATGCACACTGCACATATCTTATTTTTAAGTAAAAAACCAAAACGGGGCAAAAACACCCAGTTGGCCGGATAAATGTCCTCAGCGGGCCGCATGTGGCCCGCAGGCCGTAGTTTGAGGACCCCTGATTAACCTTGCCTATTTATTTGTTACTTCATTTTATTTATTGTTTCGGTTGGGTTTCCCAGTTTGCGAAGCACAGAAGGACTAGCTGCATAGTTATAAAACTGATGCAATGGTTTATCAGGTATGTGGGGGACGATGGGACCTAGGGAGGGGGAAGGGATTTGGGGAGCAAACAATGAATGCAGGAGGGAACCCTAGAACTTACTGTGATTATACAACTTATTTTAAAAGGAATTTAACCATGGATGTGTATGACATGTGAACACTATATCAAGAAAACCATGAGGAAAAGAAAGAAACCAAACTTGACCAATGGTTACCAGAGGTAAAGGGGGAAGAGTCCTTGTGTAGTGGGCATTGGCTTTAAGTCACTAATCTGGAAAAGGATACCAATAATATTTGTACAACATGAAGAGTGTAATCAACGGCACTGAATTATACAAGCAGATGTTGTAGAATAGGAGAATGTACAGGTGTGTATATTTTTGCCACAATTAGGAAAAAAATTACATGAATAACAATGACTACAAGGAAGAAGAAAAAGTTCTAGAATTGAATATGGTGATAATTATACAACTCTTCTTGATATGAATGAATGATTGAAATGTATGACATGTGGATGAAATGCTAATGACATTAAAAAACGAAGGTTTTGGAACGCTATAGAGTAGTTCTGTTTAATGGTGAGAGGTTCCGTTCATTTTAGTGCACTCCTAGTAGTTACGTGGTAGGCTACGATCCCCGTGTTCATAACCACCAGCTACTCCACAAGAGAAAGACAGGACCGTGGGAAACAGCTGTAACTGGTAAACACTGACAGTCTGGGAAACTCACAGGGGCAGGTCTACCTGTCCCAGAGGATTGTTATGAGTTGGGATCGACTCAATGGCAGTGAGTGAGTGATGTCTATTCTAGACAGGAAAACCGCCTACTCAATGCCCCTGCCCCCCAAGACTAGACCACTCCAATAAATAGCCCAACTTGACTCTGACTTTAGATGGCTCCTACTCTTACCTTGAACAGACAACCTGGCTGCCCGGCTCTCCCGCTGCCCAGCATTATTGGCGGCCACACACATGTAGGTCCCCGAGTCACTTTTCTCAGCTTTAGTCACCAGCAGGGAACCCTTGGACACCTGTCAGGGTCAGAGAGATTGTGATGCCTCCCATGTAAATAGGAGCTCACTGCCACTCTTTCTCTCATTTTGCCTGGGGAGATGTGGCTGGAGGCATAATATTAGTCATTTGGAGCATGCCCTGCTAAGCCCATGGCAAAAGGAAGCATTGGGACGTGACTACACTCACCATTTGCCGGCCTGGCTGTAGGGTCAAGGATTTCCCATCCTTCCACCATGTGACTGTGGGCTCTGGGAGGCCCCAGGGTGGCTCACACTCCAGAATAACCTGCTTGCCCACCATGGTCACCATGTCCCGAGGCTGGACCTGAAAATCCTCCTGAAGGACTGTGGGGTGGATGGAGGATAGAAGAGGAGGTCTAATCTCACCCATCTCCCACCATCACCACCACCACCCATACACTCTGCTTTACTCAGGTCTCCCCCAAAGAGCCATTTCAACCCAGACCTCCCCTCACAGATATCTTCTTACACGCTTTCCTCACCTCAGGCATCCCACCTCAGGCATGCCACCCTTCACTGCCCTCTTACACTCTCACCAGCCACAGACAGCCGAGCACCTCGGCTAACAGCTGTGCCCAGGTGGTTGCTGGCCTCACAGGTGTAGACACCCAGGTTTGTCTGGTCATTCAAGGCATGTCCCTGCGCAGGGGGTCCCATCAGCAGGAGAGTCCCATCAGGAAGGAGATGGTGTAGTTCCAGGGAGGTCATGCTCAGAGGCTGCCCATTCAACAGCCAGCGGATAGTGGGAGGTGGCTGGCCTGAGGCACGGCAGCTCATCTTGGCAGGGCCAGGGCCCTGGAGCAGCTGGTCCTGGGGGTGGATGAGGATTTGGGGTGGAGAGTCCTGAGCCATGCTTCCTGCCAGGGAAAGAACAGCAGAGCCCTATTTGACTCCCCTAAATCAAAACTAACCCATGGTCAGCAATTCGGACTCATAGTGGCCTGCTAGGACAGAGTAGAACTGCCCCATAGGTTTTCCAAGGCTGTAAATCTTTGTGGAAAGAGGCTGCCACATCAGACTCCTGTGCTCCTGTGGAGCTGCTGGTGAACTTGAATTGCCAAGCTTTTGGTTAGTAGCCTAGTACTTGACGCACCAAATCACCAGGGCCCACAAATGCCCGCACATTATGTGCTTGATCTCTCCCTCACCCCCACCCTTTCCCTCTCCCATGGCCTCCTCTCTCTCTCTCTCTCTCTCACACACACACACACACACACACACACACACACACACACACACAAACGCGCTGCGCACACAGGGCTTGCGGGGGCTAGAAGAGCAAGGGCCAGACTCACCAGAGCAAAGAGAAAGAAGGAAAGCCAGGGGCCATCTGACCCTGAGGAAGCTCAGGGCTCCCCAGTCCATGACTGCTCCCAGCTCGCTGTTCTTGCCCAAGCACTTTGTTCTGCTGCTCTGAGATCAACAGTGGAGGGGGATGGAGGGGCGGAGCTGGTGTTGGTGGTTGTTTGTGACCAAGGCTCTGCCCAGGAGGAAAGCAGCTTTGAGGAAATAGTTGCTTCCTGTCCAGCCTTCATAGCCTTGGAGAACAGAGATGAGATCGGAGGAGTGGAATTCTTATACTACCCAATCAAGGACTCTAATACTAGCCTTTAAACTTTTAGCCTTAAACCTCTTCTTGGCTCTTATCCTTGAATCATAATGCTTAACCGATAAGTCCCACTGCTAGAATGGAGTGGCCCTCCAGAGGTAGGATCTCAGGGCATAATGTTAAGAAGTGAAGGACAGAAAGGTAAAGGGTGCGTTGAAGGGATTAAATGGAGGGAATTTAGTTCAATGGGGGGATGGGGTGTAAGCAGGAGGATATTGGTCCATTGTCATCCAAGGTCCACTTCCCCAGGATAGATGCATGTGGAGTGGGGAAGGATGGGAGACTGGAAGGCTTCATGGCCTTTGGGACAATGTGGGAGATTTCCACAAAATCCACGTCCATATTCCGCTCAGGGGGAAACGAAACAAGTTTCTAAATTACTCGGTGAGTCAGTCCCCTCATCTGTAAAATGGGGAAAATGACGGTGGTTCTCCTTGAGGGCGGGAGGAAAAATGAAATAAGATCAAGCTTAAAACCACCTAGCACAGTTTCTGGCAGATAAGATGTGATTAGTAAAGGTTAATCAGCATTGTCATTTATTTAGTCTTAGGTCCATCCCGTCACCGAAAACATCCAAGTGCATGTACGTTCCGTGATGGGATGTGCCAAAGAATAAATACCAACCTTGAAAAACCTTGACTAGGCAGGGATGGTTTTCAAACCCTGGAAAGGTGGTTGCAATAACTGGTCTTTGCGGGCCTTCTGAGCCTGCCAGGGCAGCCTTCCTCCCGCGCTCTCCACCCTGTCCTTAGAGAGCAGCCACCCTCCTGGATCAGAGCCCACCTCCTGTTTACAGGTCTCTTCCTTCCAAATCTGGAATCTCACTCATTTCCCAGGGCTGTTCCGGGAAGGCCCAGAGGCCAGGCTCAGCGGAAGAGTGTCAGCCTTTGTTTCTAATTGTTTCAAGATGGCTCCTTTGCAGTGGTGGGGGTGGGGTGGGAGTAGGGGAGTCGATCCGACTGACCCCTCCCTCCTCCCTCTTCCAGCCTGTGCTGCCCCTGCAGTTTCAGTCACAGCCCCGAACAGCCTTTAGAGGCAGGCCTCCTGCACTCCTCAGACTGAGCCAGTGACAGAGAACCTCAGGATCTCCACAGACAGGGGTGCCCCCCAGGTAAAGAATAGACCAAGAGAGACAGCGCTGCAGGGCTAGGAACAGGGACCTAAGAACTGAGTTTGGGGTTTTAGATATGGAGAATAGCTGGGTCCAGGGCATGACTATTGCCTGTATGGTGGACAGAGTGGAGTGGTGTTGATGAAGTCAAAGGACTGTGGAGCCAGAGTGATAGTGATGCTTGAATGCATGGGCACTGAAGTCAATCAGGGACAAGACAGAAATTATGTGGTAAGACAGGTGACATGTACGGACACTTTGGAGTATAGACACTAAGCCTCCCAGTATGTCTGAGACCTGCCTGCCTGCTCCCCAAGGATTGCTGGGAACAATCCTTCTTTAGTCTCTTCTATTTTTTTTATAAGACTTGGAGACTGATTCTCTTTCAGTGCTTTAATGAATACTCTAATGACACTTGATTTTATTCAAATCTCCACAATCCAGTTCTGTTGTCTTAAAGTGATGTCTTGCCAAAAGTCAGATCCATGACTACCCCAGTGCTCAGTAGTGATGAGTGAGAATGAACAAGCGAGAAGGGCTTGTGCTATATTTCAGGGATGGAGTGGGTCCCAGAGGCTACTACAGCATGAGGAACAGTACCTGTCTCACAGGCACCCAGCCTACCCCTGGAGACTGCTGTCAGTACAGCCCCTCTCCACTTCCAGACACCGGAGAGCCAAGTTCTCCCAAGGGCCATGGTTGGAGGGATCAATTACTGGGAGCTGTTCCTGAGAGACATTAGAACACCTCCCCACTAAATGCATCCATAACACCCAGGGATATATGGAAGGATGTCTGACAGGACTTCCCAGCAGTGAAATAGTTTAGATGACTCCCCGAGACCATTTGAGTGCTCGTTGCAGTAACTTGGCTCATAGCATTCTGATTGTCTCATTTCCACAAATGAAGGAAGAGCCAACTGCATGAGTCATGGAGATGATTAGGGGCAGGCTAAACACTAAGTAAGGTAAGCGCAGATTTACTTGTGCTTATTTACTGTAAACACAAGTAAACTTGAGCTTACTGTGCTTCTTCTGTAATCTGAAACTGGGGGTGATGCTACTTGACCAGAGTCACTTCCCATTGTTATTTAAGGGGAGCTGCACTCAGTTCACTGATGATGTGCAGCTGGGGTGTCAGTTTGGATAACAGCTTCTTTCACTGAGCCCTTTTTGTTCTATTGTGCTTTGTGTTTTTGTAAGTAGCTCCTCCTTCGCTGCTTCTAAGAGGCAGGAGAGAGGAGAGGGACAAGGTGATCTCCTGAAGGCCCTCTAAAGGAGGCAGGATTCTGTTTTGGGTCCAATTGCTGTCAGGACAATTCTATGATTCTTTGGGGGTTTGGGGGTTTTTTTTATTTTTATTTTTATTTTATTTTATTTTTTATTTTTTGATTCTTTGTTGAAGAGTGATCATTCCCTCACTAGATGATGTATCAAATGGTTCTTTTTATGTATTTTGAATAATACTGCTGTTAACTTAAAAAGAAAAAGTCTCTTGTTAAACCTACAAGTGTTTAAGAGTTTCTCTATGAAATAATACTAGAAATAGGGTCTTGGGGCAAGCAAATGTCCAGCTTTGTATAATAATGCAAAATGGTTTTCCAAATCATTTGTAACTGGGGCATTAAACAACAACCTCAGGGACAGATGGTGGATTTTTTAGTTTTTGCCTATTATCTAAAAGCATCTTCTTGCTGTCTTAATTTGCATTAACCTGAATTAAATAATGGAGCTGTGCATCTTTTCCAGTCTTTATTTACCACTTGTATTTTCTCTTCTGGGAACTATCTTTTTCTAGCTTTACCCTATTGTTTTTTCTCCATAACTTTCAGGTGCCCTTTCCATATCCGGGATAATAATTCTCTGTGAATCGGAAATGTTGCAAATATTTCTCCCAGTCGGGGTTTATATTTCCTCTTTATGATGTAACAGAAGTTCTTCATTTTAATGCAGAAAATTTTATTAATATTTGTATATTTCATTCATTCTACATCTTTTTATTTTTTGTACCAGTGTGAAACCAAAAATATTTATTCAATCATCAGTGTTTAGGATTTGTATAATACCAACATAGGGAAACATAAAAACCTAGGCGGGATGATTTTGGGGTGGTATATTATGCATTCACGTCGTAGTGGCATTAATTCTTCTTTCTTAAGAATATAAATGTGGAAAATATTGCATACATTTCTGAAATATTAAAGTTTTCAGATAACATATCCTTATAAGTAGCCCTGGTGGTGTAGTGCTTAAGCATCGGGCTGCGATCCGAATAGTTGGCAGCTCGTAAACCACCTGCTAGCTGCTCCTCAGAAGAAAGACCGGGCTTTCTACTTTCTTCAACAGTTACCGTCTCAGGAAACTCACAGTGGGTTGCTATAAGTCAGCATTGACTCGATAGAAATCTTCCTCTTTGGGGAGGCAAAAAAACTAAAACAAAAAACAGCTAGATGGGAGCCGGCCAAGTAGCATCCTAAGATTAATGTTGGAGAGCCCTCTGGGGCAGTAGTTAAGTGCTTGCCTGCCAACTTAAAAGCTGAAAAGTTGGAACTCAATAGCCATGCCACAGGAGAAGGGTGAAGTCGTCTGCTTCCAGATAGACTAACAGCCTTGGAAGCACTGCAGGGCAATTCTGCTCTGTCCTACAGGGTCACTGTGAGTCAGAATCAGTTTGACGACAATGAGAGTTTGGTGTTTGGTTAGACTGATATTGTTTACAAGCATAGCTTTGAAATTCTAAAAACGGAATTTTTGAGATCAGAAATAGACCAGTTACACTAAGTGAGGCAATCTTGATCCCAGGGCATCACAAACATTTATGGCTGTAACACTCCCAGGCTTTCACCTGCTCCCTAGTTAATGTCTTACTGCTTAACCGTCAGAGATGCCGTCTTATTTCTTCTTCAAAACAGAAATCCACAATCCACAAAAGATCAAATGCAGCGCATTGCTGCAAAACCAAAAACTAAATGAACTTATTTTCTATCGTTCTCATCAAATATGAAGTTTCATCTTAAATCCTATAGTGGGATGTTTGATTTAGAGGAAGTGCCAAACTTTTAAATGGACTCTGTACCCAACATTCCTTTTTATGTTAGATTTGAAACACAGGATCTGTATTACTAAAAAAAATTAAAAGTTCCATTGCCATTATCGAATATAAATAAAAAGTTAAATTTCCAGTTATAGTTAAATCCTCAGTAACAGTTCACGCAGACTGAAGTAAAAAAGTAAGCCACCCTTATCTTCCCTTGATATTAGGACATACTTGTTTTATATTTTAGCATTTTTAAAGTCAAAATTAAAATTAAAATCAATGTGTTGATGTTATTCCTGAAAAGCTGTTAAAATCATATTTATCTCTAATGCTGTGTAAAACCATTACCTCTAATGGTGTATAAAATCTTAAAAATAAAAGAAAATTGGTATTCCTATTCTAACTGATTATTTAAACCTTTGCAGGAGAAGAAAATGCATTCTATATCTGACAGCAGCATTTTTCTGCTTATTATAAACTGTCCATCTCTAAACAATCAATCTCATTCCTTGTCCAAGATATTTTACTACTTTCTCTGAATCTTCTCCCATATAACATACACAAATCAGATTCAATCCTATGGCGGCGGGGGGGACACTTTCTTTTATTTTAGGTCTTCCTTCCCTCTCATCTTTGATCTCCTTTGTTCCTGTTGGCTAAGCTTCCTTTAAGTATACTTGCATATTTCCCATGAAATAGAGGTATAAATTGTTCCCTCTTTTCGGACATTTAAGTTATGAATGCATTACTAGTAAAACACATTCCATTTGACATCCTTGAACAAACATCTTTTACAACACTGCAAATATTTCTGTAAAATTCTAGAAATAAAATTGAATCTAAAAGAATGTGTATTTGCAAAATGCTCTCCAAAATGGCTGTGAAAACTTATACCCTAACCAAGTATAAATAACTTGCACCACACCCTCACCAATCTGAGCAATCTGGCTGGGATAGGTAGGTTTATTGTGCCAACCTGGCCAATAAGAACATGTGGGATTAATAAGGTCACAGTTTGATTGGAGGGCAAAGAGATAAATGGCTTTGTGAGGCACGCCTCTCTCTTGCTCTCTGGTGATGAGACCAGTGTGTGGCTGCCTTAGGGCGTTCTCAGCCTTTGCGAGCTACACTACCTGTGGGACAGCCAACCCATGGATTGTGTCGCTAGAGCTTGGGGTTCTTCCTTCAAGACCTGCTTCACCACGCTGCTGGTGTAATCATCACTTGAGCTTGGGACTGTTGGTTCCTGTCATCTGGCTGACTGTTGGTGACCTGCTCTGCTGTTTGCTGCCTCTAACCGGACTGCCTGAATTGCCCTACAGTAGACTCAGCTGTCTGCTTCCTTGACCTTGGACCGTTTCATGGAAGTGAGTTGAACTGAGTCCTCTGTACCACTATGTGGACTAATTAGCTGCTATATTCCTTCATGCTCTATACATCTATCTTCATATATATAAATATATATAAAATCATAAGTGTCCTGGCTTTGTTTCGCTAGAGATCCTGTCTAACACACTGGCCTTGCTTTTTTTTTTTTTTTTGGCTAGTCATGTAGGCAAATGAACAGTCATTTCTTTTAAATGCAGTTTTATTTTTTCCTTCCATATTTAGCACATTTAGGGGGCATTATTTTCCAATTTCTAAAATGGAATGAACTTGATTAACACCATCAAATATCCACTCACACCTAGATATATGATTTAATTATGTGTTTGCTAGAATCATAAACATCTTTACTTTCTAAATTTGAAGTGTATGACTACTCATCTATTTATTGTTAATATACTGCAAAATTTTCAACTTCTAGTATTGTCAAATGTTGTATTAGGTATCTTAAAAATGGCACAAGTTAAAACTTATTAGAAGGCTTTTAATTTTGACTGGGAAATTGAAAAGTTAATATCAAAGTTAGTATTAATGGTATTACAAAGCCTAAGAGTATCTTAGCAACATTGAAAATAAAGCCTTCAGGAGCATCTTCAACTCTGACTGTGAACGGGCTTCTGGGAAGTGCAAATGGGGTGTCAGGTAGACTTGGAAAGTACAATAAAGTTTCGTCTGCAAGCAAAAATAAATAATAAAGCCTTTATAAGATATTTGATTCAATAATTATTTCTTGAAAGCAACAATCAAGTGGCATATTTATTCTTTAGATCCTTGGTCTGTTTGAGGACTACTTTCCCTCCATATTATCACTAATCCTTTTTGATCTTCATGTGAGCTTTCAGGTTACTTGACTGAGTAAACTTCTGGTTACAGCCAGTGTGGATTTGTACATGTGAGCGTAAATTGAATTCCAGGGAAAAGTGCTTTCCACAACTCTCAAACATGTACTGGTAGGGCTTTTCTCCACTGTGAACCAGAAGATGTTGTTTTAGTTTTGAGCTCCCAATGAAAACTTTCCCATATTCTGCACATACAATTTCTGGAAGATCATAAACTAGGAGATAATTTCTCAGGGAAGTCTTAGCTCCAAGCTTTCTTGTATATCCACCCTGAGGATATAGGAGTGTTTCTGGGTTATTATATTATGTATTTTTTCTTGACTTCCTTCTAGCAAATTCTACTAGCTGTTTAGGATCAGATGAGTCAACACCAGGTATTCCTCCAGGAGGAAGTTTTCCAGTCATGAACTTTGAATACACAAGTGAATTCTCTTCAGCAGTGTGTTGAAAAGGTCTTGATTTGCCCTTTTATCGTGTATTCCAAAAAGCAGTCGAGAAGTGATTTGTCTCCATGAACCTGTTGAGCAAGGCCTTGTTCTGATTCTTCTTTCAGCTATTCCAAGGATTTAATAATGAAGTCCTCTTCCGGGATGGGTTCTGCAAACTCACCTTGTATTGTGCATTCTATGCAACACTCAGTCATGGAAGGGCTCCTCATCAACAACCAGAAGACTCGTGTCGTTATGCACATCTTTATCATAGAAAGCCCATCTTGTATTAGTAGGTTCCACCTCTGCTTGCAGCACCTGGTTGGACTTCACTTGCCTTGGCTTAGTCTCAGTATGGACCTTTACATCTAGGGCTTTATGGCAACTTTTCCTTAGTCTTTTCTTCAATTGCTGTCCCATGTTGTCCTATCTGTATTCTTCTTGAAGACTTACAACAGAATCCAGCAATCACTTCTAGCAATCTGTTCTACAGCAAGCACCTGCCATATGTGAAGGTCTAGGAGGGAAGGGCCTTTTCTGACTTCTTCGCCATGTACTTCAGCACTTGGTACATTTGACCACTCACCGCCAGTGCACGCTCATGTTTCTGATTCCTTACCTGGATCACATTCTCTGTATTTTAAAAGGAAACACCTCACTCTTTCTCTTTCAAGAGTGCCATTGGCATCCTTTAGCCATCAGTTTGTCAAGCTCCTTGAAGGATTTTGGAATCTTTATTGGAATTGATTTAATATGTAGAAAGAACTGCCATTTTATAAACTTATCTTTGTATATGCTTCCCTATCTAAGTTGGTTAACATGGATTTTAATAAATTTTTATGTTTTTCTCTATACAAATTGTACACATATATTGTTAACTGTATTTCCTAATTTTATTCATTTACCAATCCTTTTGATCTGGACTGGCCATGTGAATTGGTTGAACAATAGAATACAGTGGAAATGATGGGTGGGACTTCCAAATCTAAGCTTCAAGAGGCCTTGCAGCTTCTCATCTTGTCCCTGGAAAATGCTGCTTGGAGGCTACCATGCAAAGAAATTTGTTTTATCCACACAGAGCAGAGAAGAGGCATCCTAGCTAAATTCATAGATGAAAGCAATTGAATTCATGTAGACTGATAAATTTATTGATGACAGCAATGGTCACCAGACACATAAGTGAAGACATCTTAGTCATCCAACTCCAGTTCAAGCTGCCAGATATTAAGTTCCCATTAAGTGACTCTAGGTAAAAACGCAAGAGAATGTATTACCTGACTTAGCCCAGACCAAACTTTTGACACCCAGAATTACAAGCCAATAAAAAGGTTGTTGCTTTAATCATTAAATTTTGGAGTGACTTGTTATGGAGCCATACGTTATGACCCCTAATATTATACCTAGTGGTATATCTGCAGATTCTTTTCAGCTTTCTATGTAGAAAATGCTATCAACTAAATGTAATGACAGAGTTTGGTTTTCATTGTTTATGCATTTGTTTTAAAGGGACAGCTAATGCTTTACCATTAAGATTGGTATTTGTGAGCCTTCTGGCAAGATGACAGAAAAGGCAGACAGTTGTCCCTGTCTGTAACAAGACATAACACATCAAATGAAGCAGGAATGAATGATATTCCAGGAATCCTGAGTTTTGAAGGAAAGGATCCAAAATATAATACATCCAGAGAACCAAAAATCTACGATGTAAAGAAAGAAAATAAATAGTGTGGTTGCACAATTTCCAAATGGAGTGAAAGTCAAGACGATTTCATGATAGAATAGATTGTCTTAAATTTGGGAAGAAAATAATCAATTACAGCATAACCTCAAAGAAAATACACATTCTCAAAATGAAGAGGAAAATAATAAAGATTTCATAAGCACTGGAACAATAGCAATAAAGGAAATAATAAGAAAACAAATAAACAAAAGGAGGTTGACACAGAAAATGATGAGAAGCAAAAAAAACAACAGTACATCCAAAACACACAACAAAATGACAGTAACAAACTCATACCTATCAGGACTTATCCATGGATATACATGGATTCAAATCATCAATCAAGAGATGAAGCAGTCCCCAAATCCATCTGTAGATAGTAGAGCATCCCCTCACAGTAGGGTCACAAGGAAGGGATGAGTCAAACAGGGCGCAGTATAGCACCAATGAAACACACAATACTCCTCTGGTTCTTTGAGGTTTCCTCACCCCCCACTATCATGACTCCAGTCCTGCCTTTCATTTCTGGCTAGACTGGAGCATGTACACTGGTACAGATAAGAGCTCATGACACATGGAATCCAGGTCAGATAAACCTCTCAGGAACAGAAACAAGAATAGCGATAACAGCAGAGTAGGGGGAAGGTGCGGGGAGGAGGGGAAAAGGGGAAATGATCACAATGATCACCGCATAATCCCACACACACACACCCTCAGGGGGATGAACAACACGAGAACTGTGGATGATGGGAGAGAGCGGTCGGTGTAAGATATGAAAATAATAATACGAGGACCACATGGCCAGCCCCACTATGAGACATGATGTCCATCACTGACCGATAGCCCTACAGGGGACAACTGGAGACACAGTGTGGGAA